GAAAAACCTCCCCCTGGACCAAAGTAACACTTCTGCTCATAGTCAGTTGAAGGTGCTCTCTGTGTGAGCACTAAAATACCCCCTCATGGTTGAATTTAGGCTGTGTTTCAATGTAGCCATCCCCCACCCCCCGGGGTAACTTCTATAGGGTACATGGATTTGCTGGAGAGATACAGAAGAGAGAGAGAGAAAGTGAGAAATCATCCTCCGGGATGGCCAAGGGGATGGCCTCCCAGCAGTCCATTCTCCTGTCTGGATGGTACACACAGACACGTACCTGATGTGATGTTCAAGTTGCTGGGTCTGAAACTTGAACTGCATATGACCAGATGCCATTTTGTTCATAACCTTGTTCAGCGTCTCTGTAGGACACTTTATTTTATATTTTTGGGCTAACTCCATGGCCTGGTGGTTAAGGCAGCCAGATCCCACATGGCCAACTCTGAAGTTTGAATCTCAGACCCAACAGCTTGAGAAACATGGTGTGTGTGTGTGTGTGTCCAAAATCCCAAGGCGGGGAAATGGAGGCAGGATTGCAGTGTGACCATTCTCCATGGGGGGGTGCTTTTTCTTCTCCCTCTCTGTTTCTCTGTCTCTCTGGTGAGTGCACATGTCTTCCAGCAATATGCATGTTTTTGTTTTTTTTTTTTAAGGAAAAGTTGCTAGTCCCCCAAACCAAAGAAACGTACACAGCAGAAATAGAAGGAAGTCGGTCACGGCAAAGGAGAAGTAACAATATCTGCCTTTAACAGCAGGCCATATATGCATTGGTATACACTTGCAAAGTGTCAAACTCAACTAATTTATTTATTTAAAGAATCTGGTGTTGGGAACCAGCAGTTAGTGTAATGGCTATGTCGCTGGACTCCCACGTAGTCGACCGCGGTTTGCGTCCCGGACCCAGTGGCTTAAAACTCACGCCGGGCGCATGTGCGTGCGTGCCCAAGATCCTGAGAGGAGAATGGAGGAGAAGGGATTGTGGCGTGACCATCCCCTCTGGGGGGTGATTTCTTGCTTTCTGTCTCTCTGTCTCTCTCTGTCTGTCTGGCGACCGCACGCACCCTATAGCGAAAAATCTCTCCAAAAAAAAAAAAAAAGAATCTGGTGTTCTGGGGTCACAGTTGTTTCTAAATGCCCTTTTAACAGCTTATTTGAGGTGTAATTCACATACTAAGCAATTCACCCATCTAAGGTGTACAATTCAGTGTTGTTTTTTCAGTACCTTCATGGGGTTGTGCCTCTGTTGCCAGTCAGTTTTAGCACAGTTCATCCCCCTGAGAGAAACCTATATCCTTTAGTGGTCACTGCCCCATTGCCCCCATCCCTTATCCGAGGCAACCATAAATCTACCTTCTCTATGTAGTAGGCTATTCTGAACACCTAAAAACCTTTTTAATGTTCTTGGAGCCATAATACTACTGTTACAAAACTCTCAAGCAAAAGCCAACTGGCCGGTAATTTCTATCCAAATTTAATATGAGGGTGACAGAGAAGGAAGAAAAACCAAAGCACTTCCTTCTGTTGCTCAGTCCAGCATCTGACAGCAGATGAGTGGAGGCATTTTTCCATACCCCAGGCCTGCATCCTCTAGCAGACTCCAGCCGGGCATCCCCTTAGTCAGTCTCAACACTATCCACCTGGAGATGGTGTCACATCCTCTAAGACTGTCCCTCTTCACATGCTGGGGGCAAATAATAAGTTGTCACCTATACTTGTTATTGACCAGCTACAACTTGGGAGTTCCTGCGACCCCTTCTTCAGGTTCAGTTGATTTGCCAGAGGGGCTTTCAAAACTCAGGGAAACTCAGTCAGACTTAACTGTTAGTTTATTAATAAAGGATATACTAAAGTCCAGTTAAAGTCATATGAAAAGATGTGATATCATTTCATTGACTTTAAAAATGTGGCGGGGATGGCAGGTGGAGTGGTGGTTAAGGTGCTGGATTTTCACATGGGCAACCATGGTTCGAAGCCCAGACCTAGGAGTTTGCTTTCTCACTTTCTGTCTCGCTCTCTCTGGTCAAATTAAAAAATAATAATAATAAAATTAAATAATTTCTTAAAAAAATACTATGTCAGTGGCATAGTGCCTAAGGTACTAGATTCCTATGTGGCTGACTGTAGTTTGAGTCCCAGACCCGGAGACTTGAAACACTTGGGTGCCTGTGCGTGTATGCCCGAAATACCGAGAAGAGAATGAAGAAGAAGGAATTGTGACATAGCTATTCCTCTAGTGGGTGATTTCTTACTTTCGTCTTTGTGTCTCTGTCTGTCTCTAGCACGTGCCCTGTAGCAAAAATCACTCAAAAGATAAACAAACATTACGTGCGTGGGTATACATGCTCGCTTGCACATGCACACACATATATATTGGTGTTTAATCACCCATGGGTGTGTCTAGTTTCCCAGCGCAAGTATTTCTCTCTCCCTGGTTTATTTGGTAATCAGGAAAAAAAGAGCTTTTTGATGGGAGAGGTTTTTGCTATAGAGTGGGTGCGCTCGCCCGAAAGACAGAGAGAGAAAGAGAAATAGAAAGCGAGAAATCACCCTCCAGGGGGGATGGCCACGCTGCAGTCCCTTCTCCATTCTGCTCTTGGGATCTTGGACATGCACACACATGCGCCTGGCATGAGTTTAAGCCACCGGGTCCGGGACTAGAACTGTAGTCAGCTACATGGGAGTCCAGCCACATAGCCATTACATCATCTGCTGATCCCCAAAAGAATTATTTAAAATATAAAAAGTACACCACTGGGGCCAGCATGTGGCGTGGTGGTTAAAGGCACTGGACTCCCACATGGCCAACTGCGGTTCAAGTCCTGGACCTGGTGGCTTGCTGCGTAATTATTTTCGGATGTTTTCCATATGTCTTTATATAGACTTTCTATCATTTTATTGCTATATAATCTTCTGTGTGACAATTGACTTAGTTATGATTATACTCCAGGACTCTATAAAAAAAGGAATATGGACTTTTGGAAGTCATACAGATGCAGTAAAATGTCACAGTCACACCTGTGTTTGGCTGACTTGAAAAAAAAAGCTTCTTGATTTATAGTGAGCTTACATCTGGTTAAATTCAAGATACCATAACTTGAAAGTGCCTTTTTACTTCTATTTCAAACTATGGATTCTAAGGAACCAGCAGTTAGCGTAATAGCTATGTCTCTGGACTCCCACGTAGTCGACCGTGGTTCACATCCCAGACCCGGTGGCTTAAAACTCACACCAGGCGCATGTGCATGCGTGCCCAAGATCCCGAAAGGAGAATGGAGGAGAAGGGATTGCAACGTGACCATTCCCCCTGGGGGGTGATGGGGGGTGATTTCTCTCTTTCTGTCTCTATGTCTCTCTCTGTCTGGAGAGCGCACGCGCCTTATAGCGAAAAAAACCTCTCCAAAAAAAAAAAAAAAAAAAACCTGGATTCTACTGAGTGTATGGGCTTCTGCAGCATCATAAAGTCAAAAAGTTGCAAGCCCAGGAGAGCATCTGGGTTGCAGAGAAGTGTTACCATCTGGCTGGTGTCCAGTTTGTTCATTAGCTGACCTGTCCAGTAGAAGCAGGTTATGGGAAGAGAGAGCACATGGCAAGCCATATTCCTTTGTTGCCAGACTGCTGTTTCTTTTAAGCAGATAAATAAAATGATTTCCTTTGGATGGTTTCTAAGCATCTATGACACACCTACAAATTGTTTGCAGGATATTTGTGTTTTGTGAATTGTGACTTAAAGAACTCTGCTTTAGACATAGACGTTTTAGGTGTTGGGCTAAATCTGTGCCTCTTCCTCTGTGCCAAACCAGGGGTTGCTTTTCTTTTTTTTTGCTATAGGGCGTGTGCACTTGCCAGACAGACAGAGAGAGCCAGAGAGACAGAAGGCGAGAAATCACCCCCCCGGGGGGGATGGCCATGCCGCAATCCCTTCTCCTTCATTCTCCTCTCGGGATCTTGGGCACGCACACACATGCACCCGGCGTGAGTTTTAAGCCACCAGGTCTGGGACGCAAATTGTGGTAGACTACATGGGAGTCCAGCGACATAGCCATTATGCTAACTGCTGGTCCCACCAGAGGTTGCTTTTTAATGTGGTCATCATGTTAGTTTGTCTTGTGACTAAAACCTAATTTTCATGGACGCAGACTACAAAGATAATTGTAATCAATTGACTTTCTAAATTAATTTGATTCTTTTATTCACATATAATGGAGTAAGCTAGATAAGGCTGGTGATTGCCGAAGGTCTTTAAATATTTTGCAGAAACAGGAAGTTTAAAAATATGTAATTTAAGGGCTACTGGTTGGTATAGTGGTTAAGGCTCTGAATTCCCTCCCAAGTGGCTGACCATGGTTTGAGTCCTAGACCTGGAGGCCTGCTTTCTCAATTTCCTTTTCTCTCTCTCTCTCTCTGCCTCTCTCAGGTCAAATTAAAAAATAATAAAAATAATCATTTAAGAAATACATAATTTAAAATTTTCCCTAAAGTATGTATTGGGCCAGTAGGTGGCATGGAGAGTAAGGTGCTGGATCCCACGTGACTGACTGTGCACTTGGAGTCCCAGATCTGGTGGCTTGAAAGTCATGCCAGGGTCATGTGCGTACATGCCCCAAATCCCAAGGATACTGAAAAAGAAGGGATTGTGGTGTGGCCAGCCCCCCTGGCGAGTGATTTTTCACTTTTCTTCCCTCTCTTTCTCTCTGTCTCTTTGGCAAGCTCACCTGCCCTATAGCAAAAAAAAAAAAAAAAGGAAGAAAGCAAGCATGAAGTGTGAACCTAAAGCAGTAAAGCAGTGCTGCTGAAACTGTGATGCACTTGTGAATCATCATGCTAAAGCACAAGTTCTGATACCATGCAGGTCTGAGGGGGTCTGAGGTTCTGCATTTCTAACAGGCTCCAGGGTGCCACAAGTGCCACTGTGCTGCCAGCTGAGAGTTTTGTCCCTTCTAGGTTTCAGCCATTCTTCCAACCTGCATGTTAACTTCTTTACTCACATGTCTCTCTTTCAGAGTTTGGATTATGATCGCTGCATCAATGACCCTTACCTGGAGGTTTTGGAGTCCATGGATAATAAGGTAAGCCCCACAATTCTTGATCTCTTGGGATTATACAGGTCTTAAGACTGCCTTTTTTCTCTTCTAAGTGCTCTGATGAAAAAATATCCTCGCCCTTGGATTTTTTTTTTTAAGGGAGATTTTTGCTATAGGGCGTGTATGCTCACCAGAGAGACAGAAGGCTAGAAGTCACCACCCTGGGGAGATGGCCAAGCCATAGTCCCTTCTTCTGCATTCTCCTCTCGGAATTTTGGGCATGTGTACATAAGCACCTGGTGTGAGTTTTAAGCCACCAGGTCCAAGACTCGAACCATGGTCAACTACGTGAGAGTCCAGTGACATAACCGTTATGCTATCTGCTGGTCCGCCTTTGGTCTTTTAATTTTCCTGTGAGATATTGACATTTAAGCCCTGACCTTCATCTTACCAGCACTGTTAGTGCACTGGCTAGCCTCTTGGCACTCATCACTCTTGGACTATAAGCAGCTAAGATGCCAGATATCATCTTTGCCATGCTTCCTGGCCATGCAGGATTTAGTCTAGAACTGGTTGACCAAGAAGTGTTTCTCCCACTGCTGCCAACACAAACCTGTAACAAAACAAATCGTTCTTTTTTCTGTGTAAACAGAAAGGTCGAAGGTACGAGGCGGTGAAGTGGATGATGGTATTTGCCATCGGAGTCTGCACTGGACTGGTGAGCAGGGCACCTGGAGAAGTGGTGGGCCAGAGGGGTGGCAGGGATCAGAGGGCAAGCCTTGGCCTGGCTGATGGAATTTGTCATAATACCGTTTATAATGTTATAACATTTGTCATTGTAATTAAGCCTGTCTTTCTATTTTTTCTTTTTTTAAAAAAATTAATAATCTTGGCAGTTTTTCATACTCTCCTTGCTTTCGCTTTGAGAAATGAAAGTGAGCCATATGGCTACTATGCTCTTTAAGCACTTAAAGGTTTGGTCAAGATTTATCTCTTATGATATGATTATGGATCATAATCCATAATCTGTCCAATAAACTAGATAACATATCTTCTGGATAGGTAACAGAGCTGGTAGAGTACCTAGTGGATGCTGAAATCACTCTATAAGGAAAAGCAAATGGGGTTTAGAATTGTTAATGTAGTGCCAGTAAACAGTGGGACACCATGGCCCTCAGGAAACTCATTGTGCTGTCCTGGGCTCCTCCCCTGTCCCCTGCTCATTTTGTCTAGGAGGAGGAGCAAGCAGTATTGGGTGAAGGGGTATGCCTGAATGAACAGGGTTCTTGGGCTCAGCAGGTTCACAGGTGAATCACAGACTGGGGGAGATTGGAAACCTAGCCAGAGATTATGTTAGCAAAGGGTCTGGACTGTATACCCTCATACCCTTATCTTCTGGACTGCAGACTTAGTAACAGTGTGAAACCTGAAGAAGACACTGAAGAGTCAGCAGTCAGCCAAAGTTACATTTGTCAGATCTGATCTTCCATCAGTACAGTGTCAGTGTAGGGGGAATATATTCCTAAGCAGCAGCCAGTGTGTCACCTTCTACAAATCTCGTACCTGACCTATGTGATATGCCTGTATCGTGGAACGCGTGTTTAATATAATGTAGCCACAAGCGCCAACCACAACTACTTTTCATGGCACTCATAAAATTTTTACTGTAGTAAGTTTGCAAGTAAATGAGCATCATTTTTTAAAAGAATTATTTAACTTTATTTAATTTGATCAGAGAGGGGCAGAGAGAGAGAGAAAGTGAGAAAACAAGCCATCAGGTCTGGTACTCGAACCATGGTCAGCCATGTGGGGAGTCCAGCCCTTTAACCATTAGGCCACCTCCGGACCCTAAATGAGCGTCTTTGCTAGGTAAGACTAGTGGCATTCAGAAAGCCTCTTTGGTACATTCTGATGGATACTATTGTGGGGGAACTTGGGTTGATTCAATTGTTCAATGAAACCTCAGAGTGTCTTGTTTCGCTGTGTGTGTTTGCATACTAACCTGTAATAATAAAAGTCATTAGTTATCTAGTAGCTAGTTTTTCTGCCCCTTTAGATCATAGTCCTTTGAACTGCCATTAATCAAACTGGCAGTTTTACCTCATACTCTTATATTCTAGGAAGCTAGACCTGCATTTGTACTGTAGCAGCGAGCACCTCTAGCTGCTGACTTTCTTATCCTTTGATCTGTCACCTCTTACTGCTAGTATTAAACAGCCTCCAGGCATTGGCTTGAGGGGAGCCAGAGTTAAAGGCATTAAGCCTTTGATCCTGAGCCCACAGAATTAGAAGTCTTCCTGGTTCTCCTTAAGCCTTGAGCACTTAAGAGAGCACAATAGTGGAACAAGGGTTATTTTCTCTTTATCCACTGGGGTATTCATCGCCTTTGAAATGGTTATGTAAGTCAAAATAATGGCTTGTAAAATGCTAACAACAAATATTGTATATTACACTTATGTGAATGTCAGCTTTTACAGTAATACCTAAACTATGTCCTTACCCAGCTCAGCATCACTGGTGACATTTCTGAAATTCCTCTTTTGAAACCACCTTTAGGAAGGGCTGAGTGGTTCTTCAGCACAACTCTTTAACCACAGGATGGCCTTTCTTGGTCTCACGTCTTTTTCTGCTTCCTTTTTCTCTGTTTTATTTTGCTTCACTCAACTTAGCTATACGCCTTTCCTTTGTTCTTTGGAGGGATGGTGGGGGCCAGGCTAGAGCAGAGATCTCTTCTAAAGCCGGGAAGTTCATGACTTGACAAGCCATCATAACTGCATGGGGAAGGCGAAGCTGTCAGGAGCAGACACCTGTAACACGCCTGGCACAAGACAGTGTAATGGATCTCTTACTCTTCACAGGTGGGCCTCTTCGTGGACTTTTTCGTGCGTCTCTTCACTCAGCTCAAGTTTGGAGTGGTTCAAACATGTATCCTTTCCGTATTTCCTGCTGTCCTTGGTCTTCAGTGATTGCCACTTAAAACTCACGCCGGGTGTGTGTGCATGCATGCCCCAAATCCCAAGAGAATGGAGGAAAAGGGATTGTTGCATGGTCATCCCCCCTGGGGGGTGATTTCTTGCTTTCTGTCTCTCTGTTTCTCCAGTGAGTGCACATACCCTATAGCAAAAATCTCTCTGTAAAAAAAAAAAAAAAAGTTATCCTTTTAAATGTGTATGGAAGGATAAAGGGCTAAGAGCCAGGCAGTGGCATGGTGACTAAAATGACTGGATCCCACATGGCCTACTGTACAGTTGGAGTTCTGGATTTGGCGCTTGAAAAACACACATGGGCATGTGTACATGCATGCCCAACAGGAGGGAGAGATGGAGAAGGGATTGCAGTATGACCATCCCCCATGGGGGGAGTACTTGCTTTTTCTCCTCTTCTCCCCCCTAGTGAGCACATACACCCTCTGGCAAAGGGCCACAAGTAACCAGAATGGTTTGAAGAGCAAATGGGCTACTAAATGTTAAGATCAACTCTAAAATATAGTAATGAAAACAGTGTCCTGTTGGTGTAGGAGTTTCCCTTTAGACCAATAGGTGATAATTCAGGAAGAGAAATAGATCCATTCACATATAGGAATTTGGTGAATGGCAGAGTTAATGTTATGAATCATTAAGGAAGAGATGGATTTTTTTTTAAAGGATTATTTTATTTGACTTAATTTATTTACTTATTTTCATTGGACCAGAGAGGGACAGGAGAGGGGTGGAGAGAAAGAGAGAAAATGAGAAAGGGAGAAGGCAAGCCACCAGGTCCGGGACTCGAACCACAGTCGGCCATTTGGGAGTCCAGCACCCTTAACCACCATGCCACCTGCTAGCCCCGAGATGGATTATTTAATAAAAGATGCTGGGATATTAGTAGGACCAGCAAGTGGCATGGTGGTTAAGGCTCTGGATTCCTACATGGCTAACTGCGGTTCAAGTCCCAGACCTGGGGATTTGAAAAATCATGCTGAGTACATGTGCACACATGCCCGCCCAAAGTCCCAAGAGGAGAATGGAAGAGAAGGGATTGTGGCATGGCCATCCGCCCTTGGGGGTGATATCTCACTTTCCCGCTGTCTTTCCAGCAATTGCAGTTACAGATGCCCTATAGCAAAAACCTAAAAAAAAAAAAAGAAGAAGAAGAAGAAGCTGTTGGGACATTGATTATCCATATAGAAAAATATGAAATTAGATTCCTGCTTCAAATTATAATTAAAGATAAATTCCAGATGAATCAATTGAAGATCAGATGGATGGAAGATATAAACAAACTAAAACTTGAGGAACTATATAATGGAGCCAATTGGTTAAGTGCTATGCTTAGGGAGCTAGAACCCACATGGCTGGCTACAGTTCAAATCCTGGCCCCAGCAGCTTGAGAAGCATGCCAGGTACTTGTGCATGCATGCCTAGAATTGTGACAGGATGGAGAAATGGAGGAAAAAGGGGTTATCATGTGACTGTACCCCATTGGGGTTGCTTTCTCTCTCTGGTGAGGACACGTGTTCTCTGGCAATATAAAAGAGACTATATGATGTCAAGAGTAGGGAGACATTTTGTAAAACTCCAGAAGGTACAGAAATGATAGTGTCCAGAATACAGAAACAACTGCAACCAGTGAGAAAAAATTACAAACAGTAATAGAAGAAAGAATAAGATGCAATTAGGCCGTTCTCAGAAGAGAGACACGTAATGGCCAGTAACCCGTGGGGAAGATAGGAAGGTGCACATGCCTGTGAGTCATAAGCCCTCCTTATGCAGACACAGACAGCATGGCTCCTGGCAGCTCGGCCACAGTGAAAAGGTGCAACCATCAAATGGGAGAATGGGAACATTGTAGTACGTTCGTGTGACATAATTTTATTTTTATTATTTTATTTTATTTTTGGAGAGGTTTTTGCTATAGGGCATGTGCACTTGCCAGAAAGACAGAGAGAGAGAGACAGAAAGCAAGAAATCACCCCCTAGGAGGGATGACCACACCGCAATCCCTTCTCCTCCATTGTCCTCTCGGGATCTTGGGCACGCACGCACGCATGCACACGCGCCCGGCGTGAGTTTAAGGCACCGGATCCGGGACTTGAACCACGGTCAGCTACATGGGAGTCCAGCGACATAGCCATTATGCTAACTGCTGGTCCCGTGTGACATAATTTTATACAAAAGTTAAAAAGAATGAACCAGAGCTGTATCAGCATGGCTGATTCTCAAAACTTAATGTTGACAGGACCATCAGATGATGTAATGGCTATGTCGCTGGACACCCATGTAGTTGACCATGGTTTGAGTCCCAGACCCAATGGCTTAAACTCATACCGGACATGTGTGTGTGTGTGTTTGTGTGTGTCTGTGTGTGTGTGCCCAAAATCCTGAGGAGAGAATGGAGGAGAAGGGATTGCGGCGTGACCAACCCCCTGGGGGGTGATTTCTTGCTTTCTGACTCTCTGTCTCTTTCTTTCTAGTGAGTGCACATGCCCTATAGCAAAATCCTCTGAAAAGAAAAAAAACTTAAATGTTGAGGGAGGAAAAAAGAGGAAGTTGTAGAATGTTTATGAAGTATAATAAAGAATGACACAGATATGTAAGAAAATACACAGGGAAGGATGCATGGTTATTTCATATAAGTGGTTGCTCCCAGAAGCAAGGGAAACAAAGATTTTGTTTTCTTAAAATGATATCTAATGTCTTATTTTAAATATACAAGTATATATTATATATAAGCATATATATTATGAATATATAAATATATGTTTATATATTTATACACACACACATATATATGGAGCAAATATGATATAATGTCATGACTTATTAAAGCTAAAATTGGGACCAACAGATGGCATAATAGTTATGTCTCTGGACTCTCATGTAGTCAACTGTGGTTCAAATCCTGGACCTGGTGGCTTAAAATTCACTCTAGGCGAATGTGCGTGCGTGCCCAAATTCCTGAGAGCAGAATGGAGGAGAAGGGATTGTGGTATGGTCATCCTTTCTGGGAGGTGATTTCATTTTCTGTCTTTCTAGCGAGTGCCTGCACCCTATAGCAAAATGTCTTTTTTAAAAAAAATAAAGATGGGATTTTGAGGGTATGGATGTGGGTGTATTTTTGTAATATTCGATATATTTCATAATTTAAAAATGATTTCTGTGGCCAGCAGATGGTGTGGTGGTTAAGGTGACTGGATCCCACATGGCAATTCAACTGAATAGTTTGAATCCGGGGCCTGGTGACTTGAAGACCACATCAGGTGCATGTGTGTGCCCCAAATCCCAAGAGGAGCAGGGATTGTGGTGTAACCACCCCTGGAGGTGATTTTTCAGTCTCTCTCATTCTCTCTTTCTCTAGTGGGCACACATGCCCTGTAGCAAAAGCTAAAAAATAATAAAGTAAAAATGGCTCTTGATAAAACATCTTGGGCAATTTTCTAAAAAAATGTGTGTATGTGAAATAGAAAGATAGGTACTAAGCCAACATGATGTAGAAGAGGAGAAGCAACAGCAGCTCAAGTGATCACAGGGCCATGCCTTGGCTGGCGAACACGTTTTCCTTAACCCCGTTTCTGTAGCTGTGGAAGAATGCAGCCAGAAAGGCTGCCTTGCCTTGTCCCTCCTTGAGCTCTTGGGTTTCAACTTGACCTTTGTCTTCGTGGCGAGCCTTCTTGTCCTAATTGAGGTGAGGTCGTGTGGGCATTGCCTGTTTTCTCGTGAAGTTTTGGAGTTCTGCACTCATTTCTTCATCTCCATTTCCAGAATGTCAGGAAACTGAACTGTATTTAAAGCATAGATTTCCTGGAGAAAGTAGCTTCTTACTCACTTAAACATGTTTCTGAAAGTAAAGGTTTCAGCCTCTGGTGAGATTAAAGAGGAAACATCTAGATTAGGAAGGTGATTCTGAATTTTAATAGCACATTAAGTCACTTGGAGACCTTTAAAATAATACTCATTCCTAGGACCCAGCTCAGAATAAGATCAGAATTGCTGGAAATGGGGTGCCCACATGTTGAAAGGCTCCCTTTCAACAATGCATGTGGTGGCAGTCACTTACCTGGGACCTTGTTAGAAAGCAAATCCTCAGGGCCGGGGGTGGGTCCCAGCAGCTGTGGGTTAGAAGCCCTCCTGGGATGCAGTTGTTGCTGATGAAGAAGTGCAGTTTTCCCTCTCCAGCTGGTGAAGTGGTTGAGAGTCAGCAGGGGAACCAGTGGGTTTGAGCTTCCCCCCTCTTCCCCCCCCAGCCAGTGGCAGCAGGCTCGGGGATACCTGAGATCAAATGCTATCTGAATGGCGTGAAGGTACCAGGAATTGTCCGTCTTCGGACTCTGCTCTGCAAAGTCTTTGGAGTTCTGTTCAGTGTGGCTGGAGGTAAGCAGGTCTTTCTGACTTTTCTCCTTCAGTTATTCAAAGGACAAAAATGACAAGAAGCATCATGTATTAGCTCATTGAGAAAGTTCTGAGTATTCTGTTTTTTATGCAAAAATATGTCCTGACTTTCCTGATGATGTGTACATTAATTAGATTTGAACCGAAGGGCTCACCCTCAAGCAGATCTCTACACTGTTAATGGGTTATTTTAAAGTACAGACACTGTTAATGTTTACTGGTTAGAGGTATCTGACAAATGCAGTCTCTTTTGAAGAAAAATGACCATCTGATTGGTTTGTGGGGCTGACTTTAGTCAGCAAGCTTTTTGTGTAAAGGGTTAGAGTGTAAACATTTCAGGCTTTTTGGACCATGAGGCAAAATAAAGAATATTGTGTAGGTACTTCTATAACTCCTTAAAATGTGTGCATTTAAGAATGTAAATGCCAGGCTGTTAAGGGGGCCAGATCCCACATGACCAACCATGGTTCAAATCCCAGCCCAGCAGCATAAAAAGCATGCCGGATATGTGTGCATGCCCCAGATCACAACAGAACGGTGAAGTAGAGGAGAAGGGGTTACAGCATGACCACGGCCCATTGAAGGGGGTGTTTTCGCCCTCTCCCTCCCTCTCTGTCACTCTGGTGAGTGCACATCCCCTCTGGCGATTGAACAAAAAGAAAAAGAATGTAAAAGCTATCCTTAGCACTGGGCTCTACAGAAACAGTCAGGGAGCTGGTCTTGACCTGTGGGGCTATAGCTTGCTGACACCAGTTTAGAATTTAAAGACTGTTGGAATTTGACTCATTTTTTTCTCTCGCAGTCATACCATCATGTCTGTTTTATAGTTAAGAGAGGTTTATGTGACCAAGTCTGACCCAGAGGCCTTTCTGTCCTGGTTGCTGATCTTCCGTTTCACTCTTCTCAGGACTCTTTGTAGGGAAGGAAGGCCCCATGATCCACAGTGGAGCGGTGGTGGGAGCTGGCCTCCCTCAGGTAAGGGTTGATAGGCCCTCAGGGAGGGCCTCCTGGGCAGGTCAAAGGACATACCTGGGGTTGAGTTTGGGAAGACTCATTGGGAGTATCTTCTCGTGTCTTTAAAACTTGGTGCCATTTGGTGTTGAAAACTATGTGGTCTGTCTTCCAGCAGAGAACATAAACATATACTTTGAAGTTGTAACGATGCCCTGCTGAGTCCTAGGAACAGAAATGGGACATAGAGGGAGAAATGTAGTATAGACAAAAGAGTCACCTGACAATTCCACAGCCATCGCCAGGCGCCTCCTCACAGGGTGACTTGGGGATCAGTGCCATGCTGCCATAGGGTCTTGGGCAAGTTCTGTGCTGGTTGCATTTAACATAGCGCAGTAATCAGAGCAGCTGCTGCCTGTGTGCCAGACTCCGCATACGCCACACCATTCTTTGTAGTCCCCTGGCCCCCAGGGTTCAGTTGTTAGCATCATCGCTATTCCAGATGTGGAAACTGAGGAAGTAGCTCAAGACTCCTCAGTTCCCTTTTTTTTTTTTTTTTTTTTTTTTTTTGAGAAGTTTTTACTATAGGGCACATGCACTCGCCAGAAAGACAAAGAGACAGAAAGTGAGAAATCACCCCCGAGGGAGATGGCCACGTCACAATCCCTTCTGCTCCATTCTCCTTTCGGTACCTTGGGGTGACTTGGCATGAGTTTAAGCCACCGGATCCGGCACTCGAACCGCTGGTCCCAAGAATTACTTTATTTAACTTTATTTATCTATTTTTAATTTGACCTGAGAGAGAGAGAGAGAGAGAGCAAGCAAGCTTCCAGGTCTGGGACTCAAACCACAGTCAGCCAGATGGGAGTCCAGTGTCCTTAATCACTGCGCTACCTGCTGGCCCTGACAGATCCGGTTCTTAATGACTGTTCTAGATTTCTGGGCTGTAAGTTTGAGAAGTCCCAGTTCTCTGTGAACTGTTTATTTACCTTCATGGTCTGAGGAGAGGGAGTCCCTGTGACTGAGCTGTCGAGGTTAGGAGAGAAGATATCTCTCTCAGCTGCTGCCTCGGGTCTCCCAGGGGTGAGTGCAGAGGTGGGGGAAGGCCAAGTGCAGAGGGCGTCAGCACAAGGGATTGTTGGATAGATGGGGAAATGGCTCATTGGCCCCTCCCTTCCTGCCATCCCCGGAGCAGAGCTCACTTCATTTTCTGCAGCAGCTTCAGTTCTTCCCAGCCCTTCACTCAGCTCTTTCTCCTTTTTCTTTCCAACTTGTTGGCTCTGCACAAAATGCAGTTTCTGAAGGTCCTAAAAACATGGGGGCGGGACAGGAAAAATACTTTTCTCCCAAAGGAGGTAGCTTATTTTTTTCTGGGTTGCTGTTCTGGATTCTGGCTTCTGGTGGCACATCTGCCTGGGTCGCTCAAGCAAGGGGGCCTTCCCAGGTGCCTGGACTCCTGCAGTGTCGCTCCTGTGGGGCCCCGTCTCACTTTGTTTTCTTTTAGTTTCAGAGCATCTCCTTACGGAAGATCCAGTTTAACTTCCCCTATTTCCGAACTGACAGGTATGAAAAGGTTAGGAATTGGCTGTTTTTGAAAAAAAAAAAAAAGTTAATGTACTGCCAGTCAGACCGGATACGTGCTCTAGCCTGCTAAGCAGGCTGAATGCCAAAGAACCAAGTGGCATTGTGACTTTATTTTGTCACACCATAAGGCCTGGAAGCAACTCAGACAGTGAACATGGCCCATGTTTGAAAACCTAACCAGTTAAGGACATAGACAGGCATATTATCAAAAAGGTATTTTATGTTTCTGAGTAATTTCCTTGTCCAGATACCTTTCTGGGTTGGACTATTTAGCATTTTAGCCCTGTGGCTTTGTATGTGTTACCAGTGCACCTCGTAAGGGCCCTGGAAACAGGCCCCAGTTCACAGTTTGGGACCACCTTCTCATCGTGTATTCCTGCAAGGCGTTGTTTCCCTGCTGCCCTGCTGACACTTGGATGTGTCTGCTATTGTCCTGGTTTTCTAGAAGGGAGATCGGGTGAGACCATGGCTTAGGAGCGACTACTAGAATCTTTGATCTGCCCCCAAGCTGGGGGGGGCTGACAGTCCACATTCTCTCCTGTTCCTGGGGGGAGGAGCCCTGCACCTGAGGGAACTCTGATGTAGAGGGCGAGTGTGGCTTCTAGGCAGCCTGTGTGGAGGCTGCTTTACCAGGGACCTGCCCTTTCATAATTCCTGATTATTCATAGGTTTTGAGAAAAAATGTTCTTGAAGAAGGAACTGAGAAACTGCTTTTTGGATAAACCACCTCACTCTCTTCTCTCTTCAGAGACAAGCGGGACTTTGTGTCAGCAGGAGCTGCTGCAGGAGTCGCTGCTGCTTTCGGGGCCCCTATTGGGGGAACCTTGTTCAGTTTGGAGGAGGGCTCATCCTTCTGGAACCAAGGGCTCACATGGAAAGTGGTGAGCAGGACCTTCCATGAAAACCACCTCCTGGGCATACCCACACCCCAAAAATTAGACTGGACACCTGCTTGGTCCTTTAACAGCAGCTTTGCAGGACTGAGAGAAGATTTGATCAGAAATTTCTTTATTCTAGCCCCTGTAACCTCCAAGTTATGGACATTTTATACTTTCCATACCAATGCCCTCCTACTCTGAACAGGAGCCCACATCAGCTGCTGCTGTCCTTTTTAGTAAGAGCCACCTGACATGAAAACAGACTTGGGACAGAGCCCGTCTCCTGTCTCAGAGTGGAGTGTTGTTCTTTTCGGGTTTACTCGTACTTTTGGGTGCAGCACCTGGTCTGTAATAGGCTCTAAGCAAATAGGTGCTCGTCATGATCTGGTCAAGTGTGATTAAGAGCCTGATGAAGAATTTTGCACGTTCAAGGTGTGTCTGCTGCAGTGCTTACCAGATCCCTGTGCCCCAGCCCAGATTCGCAGGTCTCAACTGAGCAGCATGTCTTAGGAGGAAGTGTCAGGGACAGAGCAAAACGTACCAATGCTGAACTTTTGTATTCTTTGTCATTTGTCCTCTAGCTCTTTTGTTCTATGTCTGCCACCTTCACCCTCAACTTCTTCCGTTCCGGCATTCAGTTTGGAAGTTGGGGTTCCTTCCAGCTGCCTGGGTTGCTGAACTTTGGCGAGTTTAAGGTACGTTTTGTCCTTTGCCCCAGAACTTCTTACTTGACCTATGAAAATTGCTCTTGAGTAAATGACCAGGGAGAAGTGGTGAGAAGGGTAGGTAGAGTTTCTAGCAGGGGCACCTCTGCGCCATCGTTCTCCCCTGTGTGTGCCTGTGCTCACTGCGAGCAGGATCCAGCGTGGCCTTGGCTCTTTAGAAGAGAAAGCTGCCCGGTTCTTGTTTCTGTCTGCTCCTCTGTCCCTTCTGCCCTCATGACCACTGTGGTTTTTCTCTCTCCCTCCTTCTCCCCTTTTCTCAGTGCTCTGACTCTGATAAAAAATGTCATCTCTGGACAGCTATGGATTTGGGTTTCTTCGTCGTGATGGGGGTCATTGGGGGCCTCCTGGGAGCCACATTCAACTGTCTGAACAAGAGGCTTGCAAAGTACCGTATGCGAAACGTGCACCCGAAACCTAAGCTCGTCAGGTATCTGCAGTCGCCTCCCCCAGCCTGCTGTGGCTCCCTGAGCTTGGTGTGGGCCTGACCATCTCTCCCGAGGAAGACATCATGTGAACAGACCCTGCTTCCCACACCAGCTAGGACTTCTTGTCTGAGACTATGAATGTAAACAGGGTCATAAATATGCTTTCCTTGTCACACAGGTCAAAGGGCTGAGTCTGAGCTTAATTATGTCAGTATTGGTACGTGACTCCCAGCCTCTCCTGGCTTGCCACTAAGACATGTGACAAAGTTAGAAGGGTTAAGGGGCTTGCTCTTAGGAGACCTGCTTGCCCTCGGGACATATTACGAAAGGCCAGTTGTTCCTCGGAGAGAGATGATATGGACACAACAGCCCACTTTATTGACTGTCTACTTTTTATGTACAAACTGCTAGAATACAGCAAGCTCCTGACAAATTCTGCACGTGTTGACTGACCAGGGCTGCTGTGAATTCTCTTTGGGGGCTATGTGGGTTGGGAATCGGCAGGATCATGTATTCATGCTCCCGAGGCCAAGGTCTCTTTTGGTTGTGTTGTAACAGCTGTGTTTTGCCTCCTAGAGTCTTAGAGGGCCTCTTGGTGTCTCTGGTAACCACCGTGGTGGTGTTTGTGGCCTCAATGGTATTAGGGGAGTGCCGACAGATGACATCTTCGAGTCAAGTCGGTAATGACTCATTCCAGCTCCAGGTAACCCAGCATACCTGCTACCTTTAGCTAATATATATGAACAAAAATCCAAAAATGTATGATTTACCTGTATTTAGAACTAATAGATTTGTCGTGTTAAATGTTGCTTTATTACGAGACCTGGACTTTAGATAGCCCAGTATGTGTTACAGATGTGGTGTTTACTGTGCGCAGAAGCCCACTGAGCACTTTTCATATATGACCTCGTTCTGTGTTTACCACCACTGTGCTCGCTAGAGGTACAAAATTCCCATTTTATAGACAGGATAGCTGGGGCAATGTGAGGTCTTAAATAAGACCACTAGTAGTTTTTAGCATGGAAATAGGTAGCATTCCCTTTTTATACGTGAGGAAACTGAAGCTTCACAAAATTAAGTACCTTTCCCAAGGTCACTAAAAAGTGACAGAGTTAGAGTAAAAGCCATCTGATTTGGGAGACTGCTCTGCTCTTAGTAGACATGCTATTTTCCAGGAAGTGGAATGATGCCTCTCAGTGCAATCGACCACAGGACTTTTTCCAGAGAATCTTCAGGACTGGTGCTCCTCCAGATAGTGTTTGGGAAACACTACATGTCTTGATGATTATTTTTTATTCTTAGTGTTTTTCTTAATTAACATATAACAATCGTACATATTTGTGGGGTTTTACAGTACAAGTATACAGTGTGTAATGATTTATTTAGGGTAATTAGCATATCTATCCTGGTAACTATTTGTCATTACTTGCATTGGGAATATTCAAAATCCTCTCTTTTAGTTACTTTGAAATACACAGCAAAGTTGTTGCCATTAATAGTCTCCCTACTATATTTCTTAACACTAGAAATTGTTCCCCCTATCTTCCTGCAGTTGTACTTCCACTCATCAAAATCTCTCTATTCCCCTTTCCCTCTCCTTCTTAGCCTCTAGTAGTCATTCTTCATCTCTCTGCCTCTATGAAGCCATTATTTTCATCTTCCACATTCGAGAGAAGACATGGATATTTCTTTTTGTGTCTGACTTATTTCACTTAATGTTCCCCAAACCCACTCATTTAAAACCAAATGGTGGGACCAGCAGGTAGCGTAATGATTGTGTCACTGGACTCCTATGTAGTCGACCGCAGTTTGAGTCCTGGACCTGGTGGCTTAAACTCACGCTGGGCGCATGTGTGTGTGCCCAAGATCCTGAGAGGAGAATGGAGGAGAAGGGATTGTGGTGTGGCCATCCCTCCTGGGGGGTGATTTCTTGCTTTCTGTCTCTTTGTCTCTCTCTGTCTTTCTGGCGAGTGCATGCGCCCTATAGTCAGAATCTCTCCAAAAAAAAAAAAAGAGAGAAGAAAACCAAATGGTTTCGTCACTTAATAGGGAGAGAAAGGAAATGAGAAAGGAAGCTGTGAGATCCAAGACTTAACCCACAGTCAGCCATATGGGAGTTCAGTGCCCCAACCCCCATGCCACCTGCTGGCTTCAGTGCACTCCAGTGTTTACTGTAGCACTATCCACAATAGTCATAACACTGAAGCAATGTAAGTGTCTATCAAATGATGAATAAAGAAATAAAATGCATTTTCTTAGTGTATAAAAATGTTACCAACATGCCACTAGGTGGCATGGTGGCTAAAGTGCTGAACTCCCATGTGGCTGACCATGGTTCAGGTCCTGGACCTGGTGGTTTGCTTTCTCTGTCTCTGTCTCTGGTGAGTGCATCTGCCCTATTGGAAATTTTAAAAATAATTGATAAAATTAAGTAATTCTTTTAAAAAGTACTACCAATTTTTTATATTGATTTTGTACCTTCACTTTTACTGAGTTAATCGCTTCTAAGAATCTTCTGTGGAATTTTAGGGTTTCCTATATGTAAGATCATATTGTTTGCAAATAAGGACAATTTAACTTCCTTTGCAATTCAGATGTCCTTAATTTCTTTCTGCTACCTTTTTGCTCTGGCTAGACCTTCCTGTATTTATGACTGAGTTAATGTCTCAGCTGTCTACTGCCCCTTCAGCTATGCGCACACATTGCTTCTTGGCCAGGTTCTGCCAGTAGGGAGTGCTGTCCTGTTTCCTGCAGCAGCCTGCATCCAGCCGTATTGCCCAACAGGTTCATCTGGTAGGATTATGCAAACGTGATCCCCTAGTGTTACAGTGTCCACATGGGATACTTCTGCAGTGTCATTAGTGGAACTGAGTCTAGGGAAAACCATAATTTTTTTTTCTTCTGTGGGGGTAGGAGAGCCAGGCACCCCCAGTAGGGCTCTCTCACTGTGATTCACTCCCAACTTCAACCAGCCAGGCTTGTAGGCGCACACGGGCACACATGCAGACACACACACGACATATACAGGGAGGCCTCTGGACACCATGTGGCCTCAGCATTGTGGACCTCCGTGCCACCGCAGCTGGCTACATACGCTTAATCTTTGTCAGAACACTCCCTGTTTGCATGCACAGTGATGTGTAGAAAGTGCTTCCATTGTACACCACTGACTGTTTAATAGAAAACTGGGAATGTCATAGTCCAGAACACCCTTATAACCTCTGGTGAGTCAGGAACCAGAGTCTCAGCTTCCCACACAGAATGATGGTAAGAGTGAGAAGCCCGAAATGTGTGGAAATAATCTACTCTTCCCCAGTTTGGGCTCTGTTCACCAGTGGGGAGAGGCATCCAGCAGCACTGCCTACCATCCAGGCCTCCTGCAGAGCTGGGCTTTCTTCTGCAGCAAATTCAGGGCAAAGGGATTTTCTCCAACCAGAGTTGGAGCTTGAGGTCAAGGGTGCCCTGGACTTTTCGCCCCAGACACCTGTAACTCTCAGCTACTTGCCTCTCACTTGTTTCGTCACAGTCATTAGGACTCTTGGACCAGGCTCCTAGCAGTGTCACTTACTAAATTAGCACCAGGAGAGGAAGCAGAGCCAAATGCATAATGAGTCACAGACGTTACATTTTCCTTATGAGTGTGGATGAGCTGAGGCCTTCATTTTGACTCTTTCATTCTTTGTATTCAAAATGCAAAGAATTCAATATCATGCTTGGCTGCTATTGGGTATAGATCCATTTTTGCTACCTGTTTAATCTGCAGTTAAAGCTGCCTAGCCAGACTTTTGACCCAGTTGGAGACATCTCACTTGACTCAGGGAGTGCCTTGCACCAACTTCCCGATTCCTCTGCAGGTTACATCAGAAGATGTGAATTCAAGTATCAAGACCTTTTTTTGTCCTAATGATACCTACAATGACATGGCCACACTCTTCTTCAACCCCCAGGAGTCTGCTATCCTACAGCTTTTCCACCAGGATGGTGAGTGTCTGTGCTGAGGCCCATTCCCAGGGGACTGGTTCCATTTCAGACTCAGTCAAGCTTGCCCACGTTATGAGAAAGGATAGGCCTTTCCCTTGTAACAGGGACCCAAACAAAAGACTCGCGTTTGTGCCTCCTGTGCTGAAAGGCGAGCTGGTCGGGGTGGCAGGACCTGGAGGAGCTGGGACGGCCCAGTGGGCCTTGGCAGCTGTCTGGTAGTGGGACTCAGGTCACTCTTATCTTGCAGGTACTTTCAGCCCCGTCACGTTGGCCTTGTTCTTCATCCTGTATTTCTTGCTTGCGTGTTGGACTTACGGTATTTCTGTTCCAAGTGGCCTTTTTGTACCTTCTCTGCTGTGCGGAGCGGCTTTTGGCCGTCTAGTTGCCAATGTCCTGAAAAGGTACATTGTATGAGTGTGTGCACATGTGCGTGTGTGCCTTTGTGTTCACATTTGCATTTACGCACAAGTGTGTAAACTATCAGACCCTCCCCTGCACTGCCCCCATCCCTAGCCCCAACCTACCGGTATGCTTCTAAGCCATATTCTCGGTTTCCTTCTTCACTAGCTACATCGGATTGGGCCACATCTATTCGGGGACCTTTGCCTTGATTGGTGCCGCAGCCTTCTTGGGTGGAGTTGTCCGTATGACCATCAGCCTCACAGTCATCCTGATCGAGTCTACCAATGAGATCACGTATGGGCTCCCCATTATGGTCACCCTGATGGTGAGCACTTCCCTTCCATGTCTTTTTCAGGCTCAGGGCCTGATCCCCCTGCCCCCTCTGGGGCCTATTTTCAGGTCTTTGCTTTGTTTCAGGTGGCCAAATGGACTGGGGACTTTTTCAATAAGGGCATTTATGATATCCACGTGGGCCTGCGAGGCGTGCCACTCCTGGAATGGGAGACGGAGGTGGAAATGGACAAGTAAGGCCACGATTCTCTCATGTCCTGGTTTCAGAATTGACAGCTCTAGAGCCTAAGTGATATCGGTATTGGGGTAGGCAACAATAATTCAAGTTTCTTGGGTTGAAAGAAGCACCAAGTTTGTTCCTAAGTGCGTGTGTGAATGTGGAGCCACTTGGATTATCTGAGAGCTTAAGGGACAGGACAGGGCAGGGCAGGGTATACAGGGGCCTGATGGAGACTGAGGGAGGCAGGACTGCCTCATGGTGGGGTGGCTTCTGTGGCATTCTGGTTAAATATGACCTGAGGTCTTTGGATCAAGTTTGTGATGTGATTGAATGTTTAAATTAAAGGTATTTCAAAGTCCAGAAGTAAGAGCTAGCCAACTCCACATGTGCATAACAAGGTTCATTCTGTCAGCAGTGATTATTCAAGTGTGTATAATCACCTAGTAACCCACTTACTCCACAGATGTCTTAGGCCTCCTTTGTCTGGCTATCAGACAAGTCCCTCACAGGCTCATTCAGGCTCATGCATGGGACAGGAAGCCTTTTCTGTAAGGTAGTAAATCTTCTCAGCTTGGCAGGCTGTATGGTCTCTGTGACAGCCACTCCGCTCTGCCGTTGCAGAGTACAAGCAGCCTTAGACAGTATGTGAAGGAGTGAGTATAGCTGGATTTGATCCCTGGGCTGTGGTTTGCCATTCCTTGGTATAAAGGGGACCCCAAAATTGTCTTGAATTCCAGTAATGTCATTAGCAGATCAGTGCTGTGTGCCGTGGAGTGCTAAGAAGAAGGATGGCCAACCCTGTGGGCAAGCTGGAGGGGTTCGTGATAAGGATGCATTCATTGTATGAGCTAAGGGATGAGTAAGATAAAGCAAGGAAGGGCATTCCAGGCATAAGAAACAAAATGTACAAAGGGGATGAATGCAACAGGAATGCAGCAGCTCAAGGAACCACTGGAGATGGTTTGGAAGCAAGGCCCTGAGCCTTCCAGGAAGTGATGGAGAGCCATTGCAGCCCCATTTGGGCTTGCTCTCTGGAAACTGTGGGCTCTGTCACAAGGCTGATGGTTTCCATTTCTTTCTCCCTCCCTCCCTCTCCTAGACTGAGAGCCAGTGACATCATGGAGCCCAACCTGACATATGTCTACCCGCACACCCGTATCCAGTCTCTAGTCAGCATCCTACGTACCACAGTCCATCATGCCTTCCCTGTGGTCACAGAGAACCGGGGCAATGAGAAGGAGTTCATGAAGGGCAACCAGCTCATCAGTAACAACATCAAATTCAAGGTAAAGAGAATGGCCTGAGAGGGAGACAGGTGGTCCCTTGTGCTCATACTATTTAGCACTTGCCATGCTCCCTGGCTAGGGTGGGGAGTACCAGCAATGTTTTTACTACACACAACAGTGAGTAGAACTCTGACAGTGAGGAAGATGGACTTGGTTAGACAGCAGAAATCGGTAATCCTTCTTGCTGCAAGAGGCATAAGCACAGACCTTTTAAAAAAAAAAAAAGTAATCAAGTTTCGTTTTTCATCAAGTTTCGTCATAAGCACAGACCTTTTAAAAAAAAAAAAAAAGTAACCAAGTTTCATTTTTCATCATTAACTATGTGTGTAAGTATCAGGGAGGAGTATAGAGTGACCAAGAATAGAAATAGAAATGAACTTTGATATATTTAAAAAAGAAAAATCAATAGCATGTTTCAGAGTTGACAGAAAAGTTGAAGAACAAATCAGGGTATGCTCTGGGTACACAGGGCCAATGGACACTTGGGGCCCAGGAGGAACATGCACCTATGCTTCTCTGTCCTTGGGTTACCCCAAATTCAAAATCCGGGGAGAGAGAGTTGCCTCACTTAAGTTGTGTGCCCAACCCTTGTTGGTGGCCTTGAGGGAGCAATCCAGTTGGCAAGACATAAGAAGAAAATTTTTTTTTCACCACTGGGAAATTTAGGTGCTCTCCCCAAATGAGAGGAACAGGGATATTAGTGGGACTCTGAGAGGCTCCTTTGAATCCCACCCTCTAAACCGCTACAAAGATGTCGTGTACTTCCTATGTTGGGATATGCATTTGACCCTTATGTCACCCAAGTCCTCAAGCTCAGTAGACACTGCTGTGTGGGCGTACTGTGTACGACAACCTGTGGCCTCCCTGTCACAGCCACTGTTGGTGCCACCTCTCCCGATCCACAGAAATCCAGCATTCTCACCCGGGCCGGTGAGCAGCGTAGACGGAGCCAGTCCATGAAGTCCTACCCATCTAGCGAGCTGCGGAACATGTGCGAGGAGCATGTGGCCGCTGAGGAGCCCACCGAGAAGGAGGACCTCCTGCAGCAGATGCTTGAGAGGAGGTGAGAGTCCCTGACCACAGCATCTCCTCTGGAGGGGGGCGCAGCAGCCTGCAGAGCTCACGGAGTCAGCCCTTTGCTTAGATGTTGCTAGGTAGCTCCTGAGTATCTTGGGAATTTGGGGAGTGGGGGGATCCGGGTGGAAGTGTTCCT